ATTACATTTGTTCTAATTCTAGTTCAAATTTTATGTAGATATGAGGTTTACTGTGTGCTAAGCTTTTTTTTATACTGATGATAAACTATACAAAAAACTATAATTTATTTACTGATGTATGGCATGATACTAATATACACAGAAATTTACGTAATACTTGATGATACAATAATACAAACCACCGAAATATTTTACTATTTAGGAAATTATCTTACAGGATCAATGACGTAATTTGAATATTAATTGTGCTATCAAATAGATACATGTTTATAAGAGAGTTATGAAATTATATGTTCTCAAGTTAAATATAAGAACAATTTTGAAAGTCTTTACTTTTAAAGGATGAAAAATAAGTTATGCTTATAAAGCATAGAACAGTAGTTTTATTTCAAAACTATTAACTAGTTTCAATTAAAATTTGATCTAGAGGGAGAGCATTCTTCATACCAAGTATGTTATTAAATGTGTTAGGAAAATAGGGTTCAAGAATGCTTCTTATGACATTAAGGAAGAAGTATCAGGATCTGAAAAAGTTATAAAATGGGTAACACATGCAACTAGCTTTTTATTATTGCACATATTCTAAGGAAAAACTGTCTGACACGACACAAATACATTTTCTGTGCAAATGTTTTTTTATTACCTGAATAAGCATATGGTAATAAATAATTATGTGGGTTGGCACACAGGCTGGTTGAATTTTACTAGTATATGTGTGTGTAAGTTTCTTCGAGTCTGTGTTCATCGAAGATCAGTGAAGCGGTCATTATTAGGTAGAAAATAGTTATTATGAGGACAAAATTATACCTATCTGGATGGTCCGCATATTATCTTAATGTTATTTGTATGTATCTTAAAGCATTTGGAGTCTGAACTAGTCACCTTATATATGTATATACCTTTAGGGTGTAACCCCTTTGGGACCTTTATAGTCTAACCTCCTGTCAATGAATTATAATCCTTTATGTAATTATAGGACTTTAAGAAGAAAACAAAGTGTTTTAAATCAGAAAAAGTTTCTTTTTAATTGAATAAAACAACTTACATTGAGTAGTCAAGAAGATGTAATATATACCTTTCATTATAAGATAAAAATCGAAGAAGGAAAAATGGGAATGTTTGATGTTCCAAAAACGTGAATCATTCACAATGTCTCTTCAAAAGTATTTTAGAACAGTAAATAAGCAATAAATAATGAAAACGTAACACAATCCAAACAATTTCGTTTGAACAATAAGACTTTAATTTTTATTAAAAAGGGAGTCTAAAATATATTATAGCATAGTTAAGGCAACTGATAAAGGTGTTGACAAATCAAATAATGATGTTTATATAAATTTTTCTGTACAAATGCTGAATAATATTTGAAAAAGTTTACCAGATCATGAACTGAGTATGAGAATTGGATGTATAGTACTGTTACTAAGAAACTTTAGTATATTCTATGACTTTTGATACGTTGCACGGTTGCAAATAACTAAATAATGTATTTATATATCTGGGAGTTTTTTTTTAATTTCCGATATTTTGAAAAATAAACAAGATCGAAAATTTGTGAATTTGATGATGTATCAATAATAGCTTTTTTTTCGAAAATTCATAACTCTGGTTCTATTTGAGCTAAGAAATTCTTTTTTCTTTCTTTTTAAAGGTAAAAAGACATGCTTCAAGAAAAAAGTACTTACAAAACAAATGATCAAAAAATTCATATTGTTATTAACAATTGAAATTCATAAATCGGTTTTTAACACTGGCGCCACCCATGAATCAACTTTTTACTATTTTTATCGTTTTCCGCGTCAAATTTTCTATCGAGAACGCTTTTGAAAACGATGCAGAAGTTATTTGTACCATGAGAAAAAAATTAATTAATTTAGCGTGGTACGTCACATCGACACGTGGGTCACTTTTTACGGCTCATATTCTTGTTTTACACCACTTATCTCTTAAATACAAATAATTGTTTAATTTTTTTAATCAAAAAACACTTTTTGTTAGCCAAGAAAATTGGAAAAATAAAAAAAACACATAAATAAAACTAAATAAATGAATAACGACAAAATATTTTGAATCAAAAAGCATAAAATTTTAATGTTAAATATTAATTCGANAAAATAATAATATTATAATTATCAAATTGTTAAAAGTCATTGATAAGTATACAGTTCTCGGTGCATTCAACTTTTTTTGTGTTACTACTATTTTAGAACAATATAACATTCGTTCATTCTTATACGTACAAATATGACATGATACAACAACATACATAAATTAAAACGTTACATAATTATTAAATAATAATAACCGTGAAAGTATTGCCTGATTTAGAGGGTTAAGTAAATAACCTATTAAATTTAGCTCTATTATAACAACGAAGAGATAGAACTCCCCGCACCCAATCGTAAATTCTGATAACATTTATAACGATACACATGTATACTTGTTTTATGTATATTATAAATTTATACATGACGAACAAGTTACTTTATTTAATACAAGTTAAAAAAAAATCTTTCATAATCTTTTGGAGATACAATGTTTAATCGACCAATTGCAATATCTTTTATCTTATTTTTCCTTCTTCGCCAAATTTTTAATCTATTTATAAACATGTAGTATTCTGAAATATCACATACTTAATGGATTTAGCAAAGTCATCATGTTTATTTAATTTGAACCAAGATGTTAACTGTGTCTCGTAGTAATCTATAGCAGTTTCGATATTATTGTCTTTAAATACCAGTTTTTGTTTGTTTTCAAGATGAACAGCTAAACTTACAACTGTATGACTTCTACGCAAATTGGTAATTCTTGTAATTTTCAAGCTGCTTTTGTTGGACCCACATATCTAGCATCAACGTAACTATTAATTTCAGCAAATATTTTTTCATCTTAGTCTTTTAATTTTTGAATTTTGATGTATGCTCTGTCTCTACCTTTATGTATATAGTTATAAATATATCTTATGCTCTGAATAGATGCACAGAATTCGACGTTAATATGACATTTATATTTCTCTAACAAAAATTTATTATACGGTACGACCATCGAATTATCTACTAAAATTCCATCTCTTCTCTAAATTTTCTGAAAATGTTGTTCGGAAGTATTATTTCTTTTTTTATATTCAAGATAACCATTCGTTCAAATGAAGTTACGTTTGTAAAAGATTTGGGGAAATTTTTTACTACTTTTTATCAATCATACAAGAACTTTGTTCTGTATGAGGTCCATAAAGCATGTGTTTAATCAGCAACTTTGTGAGCTTTATATTACCAGAAGGAATTTCAGCTGAAATAATTGCATCAATTTGTTCAGGTATAACTATTTTCTATCAGGATGCAAAATATGTGCATAAGGTAGACCACATTTTTGAAATTCTATGGTCTATACGTATGCTTGTACTTTACGGAATATATCATTTTTAATGATGTCATCCAAAACTGACATTAATTTCAAGTGGATTAGTCTAATAGTTAAGTTTGGAATATCATTTGGTGTTCTATTTTGAGAAAATTTTGATAAAATAAGCTTTAATTCTTCCCATTTAAGATTGCATGTTACTACTATAAATAAATCTGGTCTACCACATTTTCTTATTATGGACATTGCATCTTGATAATGTTTCTGCAGATATCTTGGACTTTTAATGTATGTAGATGGAAGTATAAAAAGATTTACGATTTATTTCTTTGTCTGAAAATTTTGAGAAATTTTGGATGCACTATTCATTATTGCATCTAATAAACCTTGATAACATTCTATTTTAAAATTTTTTGGATTGTATCTCAAATAATTCAAACAGTTATATTTAATCATGATATAAGAATGAATAAAACATTGTTGTGTCAGCCATCTCCTGTATAATAATGGATTAAAATATTTTTTATTTGGTCTGTAAGACAGTCTGTAGGAATAATGTTGTAACACAGTTAGTTTTTCGCTCTTATTTAAGTAATTTTTCAAATAACCGGTACTCCATCCTAAATTTTCTAAGGGAAAAAATGATGGAATTGCCATGGGAACGATAAAATAATACAGCTTATTTAAAAATGTTTTTTTTAGGAGAATTATCGGGTAATTCTTTCAGATATACACAAAGATCGAGACTTTCTGGTAGTCCAGAGTCTGGAACTACAATAGCACCGAATTCTGCTGTCAATGGTTTATGGTATGAATGTTTCTGCCAGCCAGTTTTTCTTAAAAAAATCATTTTATAATTTGGTAATTTTTCTACATTTGTGATTTGATTGAAATGTTTGTACTTTTTTGCTATTGGATTTTCTTTCATAATTTTTGTCAAAGTTTTGATAAGTTTTTTAAGAATTTAAAATATTCATGAATATTTATATGGCTTTTTTAAAGAAAAAATTATATTCTATGACTATTTAAAAAAAAAACAGAAAGTCATTGTTTAGATGATCTAATTCATCAAAAGCTTTATTGCGTTATAAGTGTTTTTCATACAATCAAAGAATATTGTAAAATATAATGATATTTTTTATTGATGAAATCACTAGCTTATTAGCTATAATGAATAAAAAATCTTATTTTAAGTAGAAAATTTATAGTCAATTTAAAAAAAAATGCTATGCAGACAGTGGAAGTGTAATGAAGGACAACATAAGCTGTGCGGGGGATGATGGAAGTCAATAAAAATTTTATGGATGGATGGTGGGGGTAGTGAGGTGCTCGTCTTCCAAGTTAATTTTTGATAACAACAGAAAAATAAGACAAATTTTACCTTGATATCTGGGGAGGGAGGGTTGAAGACTAGTAGTAGGGGGTATGTTGAATGTAGAAAGATTTTTATGTGTGCTAAAAAAAATTCAATTATTTTCTAGCCAGTGTACGTCAATCTACTGCAGTAGAAAATTTTTTATTCCATAACTAATTTCAAAGTCAATAATCAGAGCTACTGTCGACGCGTCAGCTATGAAATTCATCATGCATGTTTTGTACTTGCCAAAAAAAAATTAAGTTTTATACTGTGGTTACAGGTCAAACAAACACCCGATGTACTATGTAATCAAGGATCTGCAAGTAATGATGAAACGAAGTGTAGTAAAGTAGAAATAATATTAAAAAGTGCTACTTTACCTCGACTTCGTAAGACTTCCAAAGCCAAAATAACACTTTTAGATCGAAGTCCAATAGAAACAATTGCTTCATCAGAAATCTTAAGAAGAGTTGAAATAAATAGGCCACGCCAATTGAAATGTCAGAGTTTGGGGAACTCGTTTTTAGTATCACCTACATCATACAAAACTTACCGTAGCTGTAGTCTAGATTCAAGAAGCCCAATCATTCCTGACTATCTTAAAGAACGAATAATACCAATTCAAATAGAGCAATCATTACAGTCAAATGCACGTTCAAAAGTTCTTCCATCTCGAATGATATCACAACAACGTTCTCTATCACAACGCATGGACTCGTTTTTCCGGCGTTCGACTGCTGATGCTGCAAGCAATACATTAAGCTCAGTATCGGATTGTCAACCAATATATAAGGTTCAAGAGGAGTACATTATACCTATTTCCGTAGAGGAGGGTGGATACTTAACTCATGAATTTGGTAGCGTACAGCAAAGTTACGTAAATAGAACAATCACTGACAAGAGACCGATAAAATCAAAATTTTACAATGTCCAAAGATTAGGACCACTTCTATCTGATGCCAGTGACGATGATTTGCCATTGCCTCTGATTCATAGGTAACAATTTTTGAAATTCTATGATACTTATTTGTTATTAATCGATTAATTTAAAACTTTTTACCCTAGTTATGTAATGCTCCTTCAAATCTATCATAATTTTTTTTCAACTGATTAGCACTATCAAAGTAAGTTTTAAATAATTGAAAAACAAATTGAATAATGTCATTGATCATAAAAATTAGTGCTAGGAAATGAAAAAATATATTTACGCTTTTTCATGACGATCAAAGTTTCTTTTGTTTTTTTTTTTCACAATTCAGTACAACATATTTACTCATAAAAAGCAGTATAACAAAAACACTAACTTCACTAGTAAAACCTTTTGATTTTATAGAATCCTTAACTAAAAGATGGTATAAAAACGTGTGTTATAAAGTTGGCTAGGTAATATGTACAAGTTGTTTATAACAAAACTTAGCACTTTTTAATTAATGAGAATCATACAACGACTCGTATAAAACTCAAATACAATATCATTGGATGAAAGTAAATAGACAAACTTATGATGATGAATGCGATGAAACAAGTGAAATTATCAGTTGATGTAAAATACTAATAAGCAACAAAAAACTGATCATTAATAAAATATTGCTTAAGGCACAAACGTATAATGTTTTTAATATTATGAGAAGTATAATCACTCGTTATACATACCAAAGTATCATATATTATACTGAGTTCAAAGATAATTAGCTCCGAAAGAAATTTTAGATTATGATTAGTTTTAATATACTGTTCTTAATAGTATCCTTGCTTTGCTGTTCAAATTATCACGCCTGTTCTACAGATTTGTTTGCATCTGATAACTCCACAAATTTCATTTCATGCTGGGAACGACTGTGGCTAAGATTGTAGGCATAATAGCACTAAAGAGCCATGTTTATTATTTAGGACAGAACATTGCAATCTCATGCTCTTTATTATCTTTTATCTAATATTTCACCAAGTACTTTGTGCTAAGGTTATGTTGAGCTTCATTGAGTATATAGGTGACTGAAACTGATTTAAAAATGAGCTGATTTACGAGCTATTATATACCGTGTGTTTGGACGTAAAATTATACAGTAAATTGTTGTATAAATTCATCAATTATTTTTTGTTTTTTTTATTTATACGTAGGAAATGACAACATTTACTAAAAAACTGGCATGTATACATATTTATGTTTCATATAAAAGGCAATACGTATAAAACATAGTAATAATACAAAGAGTATATGCATGATTAAAAATCTGATACAGTAATATTTCCTCTTAACAAACATCAGGTTCTAACAAATTTATTTTGAATGCACAAGAAATAAACTAAAGTAATCAACTAAAAATTGTTTTCAGTATCTATTTTAATTCATCTTAAAATTATGAATATTAAACAGTGATACATGTAATTTTTGCTTAGAGAAAATAATTTGAATTAAATTTAAGTATGACTTTCCAGTTATATAGGTTAAGCTTGAGGTTGTGTTTTTTTTTCTTTAAACATATAATACGATGATTCTACCACTTCAAGAAATTCACACAGATCTGGATCTAAATTTAGTAAAGGATACCGTATAAATAGCTGATAAGCTTGAGTAACTATCATATCCTCTTGAGGGCTGATAAAAAGCCATATCTCGTAGACAAATAAGCTATTAAATAGAAAATAAAAATGCTTTAAACATAATAAATGAGATCATTAACTTAATGCTATCTATGCTCGTCCTGTAGTCATATTCAGAAATATAAAAAAATATAATGTCAAAAATATTTTATAAGTAAAATAAAACATATTTGTCCTTAATTATGATGTCCATGGTATACATTCCGAAAGTTACGTTATATATTTAAAATTTTCAGTGCAAACAAGTATAACTGGAAACTAAGATATATAAGAAATCATGTATAAACATGAGAAATAAAAAGTTCTCGAAGCAAAATTTCACATACTTTTACGTATCCTTGCTTGTATTTCTTGTATTTTTAAATATATAGCTTTTATTTTGTAAGCTCCAAGAACTTTTTTTTTTATTTTTTTTTCACCAGGTTACCGTGACAGCCTGCTGGCCTAGTCGCAGAAGTCACCCACTCACCATCTATGTGTGAGGGTGTATCGCCACAGCCATCTCCAACCCTTTTAATGATGTTATACCTAATCCATGAGCACAGTGCGAGTATCAGATATAAGTAGAGAGATTGCTAACGACAATGCTACGATGCGAGACAACTTTTTGCCACTGATCAGAACGACCCACCACCACGCCGCAGCCAGCCGTCGAAGCAGGCGCACATTTTACGAGAGTGCGAGACTCGTATCGAACAGTGTGTACCTACGAGAAGAGGAGTGGATCCGCGTAAAAATGAGCATATAGGCATACACTTTGGAGACGCGTGAAAGGGATATACCGAATGTGTGCCTACGAAGAGAGGAGTGGAAACGTCGACTATAGCTATATAGCTGAGCGCACAGCCAAAGCAAGCGACGACACAATATTTTCTCTTTTGACTGCAACCAAGTGTATGCTATATACACTTAAACTTGCTTTCTCGCTTTTGCTTCAATAGTATCTATCAATGTGATTCAAGTAAATCTTGGAACTAAATGCTTACAATTATATGCACAAAATTTGATTTAAGAAAATTTTTTTTTATTTCTCCCGTACGTTAATCCTTATTTTTAAATCCAGTAATATTTTTAAAAAATATCCAGCAATTTTTTAAGGATAAAGCTCTTACCCAAACTTCCGATCCCTGGTAGCACAGTCTTTGCAATTCTAACGTACTTCTTGCACAAGATTTACGTTGACAACGAAATTGTGTAAGTCTGCATCTAGTCTACTTTCAAGATCTAACGTAATTCTGATGCACGACAGGTGAGCAAGACTCTTGCGTCAGAAGTGCACAAATCTGACGATCAGTTGAGTGCGTTATTTATCTTGATTTGACGCACTTCTGATTGTGGCAGATTTGCGCAAGATTTGGGTGCAGGCGAGTGCGCAAGACTCTTGCGTAAGGAGTGCGTAAATCTGATGGGCAGTCCAGTGCGTTATCATTCTGACTTGAGGCAGTTCCGCTTGCAGGAGATTTGCGCAAGATTAGCGTGCAGGCGAGTGCACAAAATCCTTGCGCAAGAAGTGCACAAATCTGACGATCAGTTGAGTGCGTTTTTTGTCTTGACTCGACGCACTCCTGATTGCGGCAGATTTGCGCAAAATTTTCGTGCAGGTGAGTACACAAGTAAATAAGTAAGTAACGTTTATAAGACCATTTGGTATAACCACGTTCGGTCTCAAATTTTAATTTTACAGAGTATAATATAAAATGCGCAAAAGTTACAAATTAGTTGACAAAAATAGATTTACATTTGAAATTAAGAGAAAAATTCATTAATAAATAAAAATAATGTATGAAAAATAGAAGTTGCATTAAAAATAAAGGTACAGAATTAAATACATGTTACTGCTATTTTGAGTCACTTCTTCGAAACTCAATAACTCGCGTTCTATACAATAATTAGAGCTGGAATTTGATCATAAGGCAGATATTATATATAGTCCTTAACATACACAAAAAATTTCAGGTTGATCGGGTTTCAACTTNAAGTTTATAGGGTGTATTCGTTATGAGAAGCACTTATACCCCCACGCCAAATATTTATATTTGCACCTCACACTCCTGCCATGATACCCGCTAAATATTTTATTTTGCAATAAATTTGAATCAATTTGTTAACTAGTGATTTCATTATAAAATATATTTTATTTATGTTTACAATCTAATATATCTATTTTTTTCGTGCCACTTTATTATTTCAATCCTTTTGATCCAAATTTTATCAGAGAAAAGTGTAAATACGTTTGTTTTGTTATTTATAGTTGTTTTTCTGACACATTAACAAATCTTGAAATTTAAGTATTGTATACATTCGAAGTAAAAAACAACCTTTGAAAAGGATTTAAAATATAAAATAGTGTTGATTCTATACGCAATAAATAAAAATAATTTTAAAAGCAAAAACAAATGTTTTTAAAAACCGTGTCAATAATCGAAAATGAACAGTATCAACCTTAATACGGTGCGAAACTAAAATTTCTTTTTAGAGCCGGTAGAAAATGCAAAAACAATAAGTTTGAACTCGAAATTATTAAAATTTGACCACAGGGCGCTGAGACACAACCGATCACATACAAATACACATACACATATAAGCAGACATGTACATACATTTTTTAATTATAAACAATTTACATTTTTAACAATATAAAAAATATTGGGAACTGAATTCCAGAAAAATTTTTTTTCGTCGTGCCACTTTATTATTTCAATCCTTTTGATCCAAATTTAGTATGCAAAAACAATAAGTTTGAGCCCGAAATTATTAAAATTTGACCACAGGGCTCTGAGACACAACCGATCACATACAAATACACATACATATATAAGCACACATCTACATACATTTTTTAATTATAAACTATTTTCATTTTTAACACTATAAAAAATATTGGGAACTGAATTCCAGAAAAATTTTTTTTCGTCGAAACAATAAAATTTCCTTAATGAGTTAGCAAAACTAGTGTATTCATAGTATTTTCCTAATTTTTTTCCTATATAAAGGTAATTTGTCATCTTTTGGTGCCAATTGTACATGAAAAAATGTCAATGCACAAAAATAAATGTCTTCCACAACCCTGTTAAAAAATCTCAAGAAATTTCTAATGTTAAAATCTCACTTCAGAAATTTCTTCACAATTTCTACACCAGCAAAAACGTAAGAAATATGTTATTACAAGCAAAATAAATCTAAACCATAGTTAAAACAGCTTGTGTCAATTATTGTCTCCCAAGAATTCTGCAAAATTCTACAACAAGGAAAAGCATCGAATAAAAATAATAACGCACTCGATTGCCCGTCAGATTTGTGCACTTCTTACGCAAGAATCCTGCGCACTTGCCTGCACGCAAATCTTGCGCAAATCTGCCGTATAAAGTGGAAGTGCATCAAGTCAGAATGATAAC